TAGATTCGAAACGTACAAAAAAGATACAAAGAAGAACCGAAAAAATTGAATTAGAATTATCCTGGGACTGATCCTGGGATGCTTTGTATAGATTTTAATAATCCTCTGATCCAAAATGATTTCTCAGGTAGACGAATGAAAGCAGCAGATTTACGTATAATTGAATTTTAATTTGCCCAGAGAGGAAACTATTCTTGCAGAAATAGCCGCGGATATTCAGTCGCTAAACGATAATTGAATCGGATTTCCGAATCCCACGATTAAGTCGCTTCCCTCGTCAATTTAACGCTTTCTTCGTCCCTCGTATTTTTCGAAGGAGGTAGGAATATTTTATCCGAAAGACACCCCGCGCATATTACAGCCAGCGACCAATGCCAATGGCATGAATAGCTGATGAATCGGTCCGAATGAATTTTATCACACCAATGCGATCCAACCGCATCCGTCCGTACCATTTGTTCGGCCTTCGTGCAAGACGAATGATTATATATTTTAACACGGAGCTTATACGTACCGCAATTGAAGCAGTCCGCACAATCGCGGTTTACCGCATACAACCCTCCCTCGGAATTGCAGACCGATGAATTGGCTTCCGGACTACGAATGATGCCACAGCCGCGGATCGCGCTCCAATTTGCATGGAGCAATATTATTTTATCCTCGAATCCAAGGACCAGCTTGCGTAAGCTCGTGCGCGCGCGCGGGTATCAATATGTGGGATGAAGTTGCAGTCTCCGCTGTTATCATGCAAGCGGAAATTCAAACCTTTCGAGGCATCCTCGAGATATTAACGTTGAATTTTATTTCTATAAATATAAAGCTACTAAAGGGAGATATTATAAAAGATAGTACACCATTGCTCAAACTGATTGAAAAACTTGTTATATATCAATTTTTACTTGTAGCTTTTAAGTTTTATTTATAATATTCGAATAACAAAATATTTTGAATTGACATACATTTTTCCGTAATGTTTTATTTTGAATATTTTTGTATTAGTATTACTCGTAATAAATTTGTACGTTCGCGAGATTCACAAGTTTCGAATATCTGTTAAGGTTGTATGCATATTTAATGAATATTGTACAAAACATTTATGCACATATTATGCGTTATTGCATTCTGAAATTATAGCAATGTGATGTTTTCCAAGTTAAAACATTTCGAGCACACAATTTTAACATAAAGATGACGTATATAATAAACTATTTGACATATGTTATCGGGAATTCATAAGGAAAAGGACAATGAAGGTAAACGATACATGTGAATTAAATTATCCAATTTTTTTTTTACAATTCTAATAGATTTCTGGAAAAAAAAAACAGTTAATGGACATTCCTACTGGCTGTTCTTAATTAATGAATATCCGATGGTGCTAATGTAATTAACGGCGTTCGATTAAACGGCACTGCGAATGAAAACCACCGAAATAGTCCCAACGACCATTCCCGTTTTTCTTGAATTAATTATGCAACTGTGCTTTCTCCAGATGGTGCAGCGAAGTAATAAAAATACAGTCGTGTTATCATACAGATTAATCCATTATTTATGATTTATGCAGCTTTATTTTCTTCGAGTCTACGGTATTTTGCTTTTTCTTACAGTAAATTATCAAATGATAGCTACAAAATTTATAATTTTCACGTGGTCCGCTGAAAATTTGGCTTAACCCTTTCAGGTCTAACTTTGAAGAGAAATGGGACATATAATGTCTAATTCATTTTAAAGATTTGGGAGATCACTGAATATAAAAATAAGATCGAAATATAAAAATTGGCAGATCGAAAGCTTGAAAATTATATTCGTTTATACATTAATAAGGTATAATAATAAATAATTTTCTTTAAAACAAGTACTACACTGAAAAAAAAGATTGGCTGCTGCAGCAAATTACATGGTAAAATATGGCATAGCATTTTTAAGTTAAACTAAATAGCTTAATATTTACAAAGATATCATTTTTTTAAGATACTGGTACGTGTATGTACCACTAGACCTGAAAAAGTTAAAAGTACATTTTAGAGTGATCTACACTGAAAAAAGCCTGTAATAATAATCAAGTCTGCGTGAGCGCTACTAAAGTTTTGGTGAAATAATTTCAATTAGATTAATAGAACCAAAGCCTATTAAATGTTAATTTTATTTTTCTAAATATCACACCAATATGCTAAACAAAATACATCAATAACTATTATTTTCTTTTTAATGTAAAATGTATTTTTTATATATACAGCCGGTTCTTCTCATGTGCTTATCTATAAGAATATATACATCATAAAAGGCAATTTACGTTCGAGTTTATCATGTTTCTTGGCCATTTCGTTCTTGTTATAGTGTACCTGAAATATGTTTTTTCCATGTGCGATTTGCATATAAAGTAGATGTGCGAGAGAACAGAAATAGAGACTTGTCGTTGCTATCATCTGGGTCACAGGTGACGAGTTTGGCCGCGTTTCAGGTGAACGAGACCCGCCGTCCTTGGACAAAGTGCTCGTAGTATCCCTTCGAGAATCCTTCATATCCATGAACAAAGCATTTCCATGATCTGATACAAATATTTGCGTGGCAATATATGCTATCTCTTATACGTATAAACGAAGTCAGTGGCCAGTACAAAAGATACACATTCGTATATTCAACTAAAATAGAACGAAAGATATATTGATATTAAAATGATTATTCTTTCATTACGCACCATCTCATTGAAATTTCTACGAAAATGTATAAGTCTTCACAGAAGTGAAACTAATCAGTAGACGATTATGTAAACATGCAATTAGCGTATCAAAGCAACACACAATTCTCTAACCTAATATGAGTTTGCAGCACAAACGATTCGTCTGAGACAATTTTGAGGTTGTAACAGATTAGGCTTTAAGCTTGATCGACTGAACAACTACAGCTTAGAATTCGAATACTGTTATTAAACCACCAAATCCAGTCACGATCGCTTAAAGTCTCTATTCAACTAATCCGCCAAAGAGTAGACGTACGCAGTGTCGATAGCTGTTACTGAAGTTTTAGTAAATAAGGAAGTATATTTGGATTTCGGCTATTTGCGATATCTAGTGAGATTTGGTGAGTAAATCCGATTTACAAGATAAGCAAAGTTCAAAATTTACACATTCTGCCGTATTAATATGTAGCACACACACACACAGACACACAATGTGCGGTTATATATTTTACGCATATTTTTAAGAGATATTTGGTAAGTAAATCTGATTTACAAGATAAGCAAAGTTCAAAATTCAAACATTCTGCCATATTAATATGTAGCAAAGGCTGTATATTTTACATATTTTTAATTGTAAGATGAATATAATTATCATTTAATGTCACTTTACTATGCTGAAAAAAAAGAAAAAATAATTTTTTAATTAAAAATTATTTAATTATATTGTATTCGAAATTAATAAAAAAATTTATTACTTTGTAAATACCAAGTGGCGGTTATAGTCTTTAAGAGATCAGTTTCTAACATTGTCCGTTATTTTTTACAATTTTACGAAAATTTATTACAAGCTCGGCATGCAGTCGACGTAAACATCATAAGTTTTGTAGAACTTTCTTTTTTTGAACTATTTGTATATGTCAGATGTGTATATTTCCCAATATACTTTTTCCTAACAAGTTAAATAAATAGTTTTAAAGGATTAAAATTAATCTGCAGAATAAAAGGTTTCAAAGAGGACTTAATAAAGATAATATCATCAAAGTAAGTTTTCATTAACTGTAGAGATTTATGTATCAAAGCATCAGTGAAATTCGAGGAACATTTATAGCTTCAATATAGCATTGAAATAAATCTATAGAGATTTAGAAAAAAAGTTAATAAGTATATAATATCATCAAAGGTTTTTCGTAGTTTATAGAGTATTTGAGTAAGTGCAAACTATTCTTAAGAATGTCGAAGTAGTATTAAAATTTCGACTCGGGAAAATTGTCAGATTATAAAATATTGCATATTTTCTTAATATAATATACGTACAAAAGATTATTTATGAAAATTTTCTTGTAAATGTTCCACATTAAAATAAATAATTCTATTTGAATATGTGTCAGTAAATTATTTGTTATGAAAATATTCGTCAATCAAAAAACGAAACATGTGTTCTATGATATAAACACGATGTAAGTACATTTATTAATCTATACGTTATAAAATAGAACATAATTATTTATTTGTTTATCGCGTATGCTATCCCGCCATTAAAATCAGAATTTGCATTTGAATTTTAATATGAAAGCCGATAATTTAAATGTAAATTATAATGCATATTTTACGCTTTTCCAGTTCGGTCGAAACGTGCATATTATTACTCACACACGTTATGTGTTTTCCATACGAAACATACTACTCTCATCATGTTAAGACACTTTGTTTCATATAACTCTACTAAGTAATTAATAAAATTAATCAGACATTTTTACAAACTCATATTTATTAAATTATTTTCCCAAAACAATTTTCTACATATATCACGCATGCATATACTCAATATAATAGATTAATTATTTAATTTCTATTGCGATATAAATGTATCGTGCACGTGATAGATTTATATAGTAATATTAAAAATTTTTTAAAACGATGTTTGCTGTTTATCGATAATAAGATTAAATATTTATACATAGTTTAAACTACGTTCTGCAGAAAGGACGCAATCAGCAATCAAAATTTGATTGCATGTCTCCTTTTTATACAAATTGCATTTGTAAAACAACACCGCAAAGAGGTAAACACGACTAACGAATACATAACTCTCCCCAAATAAAACGTATTTGCATACGACGGAGGTTGAGCATACTTATTAGTTATGGTAATACAACTGCTATTTATAATAAGAACTTATTATGTTACGTTAATTCATATAGCTTTATAAATAGGGAAAAGGGAGATTTTTCCTAGCAATGGCGAGTCAATCGTCTTGTGATATGCAAGAAAGAAGACGTTAAGAGTTTAATTTGTAATTTTGCCTTGCTTTTTGTTCCAGGCACTTCTACAAGCTCACGACGTTGCCGGTCACGAGGTCTACGGCGAGGAAGCCACCAGGGTAACGCCACCGCCACTCCTCACGTATCTGAATGGCGGCGACGATCTCGAAGGACAAAACGGCGATTTAGATGAGAAAATTACTCGTGTCAGACTGGTGCAGTTCCAGAAAAACACGGATGAGCCGATGGTGAGTAACAAGACAAATATGTGTTTTGGCAATGTGAGATAACGTTTGTGAAATATAGTACAAAATGCTTCTCTGATTTTTGTTTAAAATAGAAGAGAAAAAAATATATATATTTCAAATATAAATTCTTAAAAAATATATGTAAAAAAATTATTTTTTAATGAAAGTATGAAAATAATATGAATGTTAAATATATTATTTAGACATTATGTTGAGCAATTGAAAATTTGATTAAAAAGTTATTTTAATATAATCTTAATATTCTTTTAAATTTTTAGTAAAACATTTAATAAAGATTTGCAGGATTATATTTTGGATAATAATAAATATTAAATTTTTACGTGCGTTGTAAAATAACTGTTATTATGACAATTTTGATTTTTAATTTATGGCGTTATTATTTATTAACGGTTTAATATTCGTTATGTTTAAAATACGTGACCGTAATGCAATGTTTAACATGTTATTATCGATAAAACATTACGTTCACTACTATTAATTTATTTTACATTATCTGTTTTTCAGGGAATCACATTGAAAATGAATGAGGATGGGCAATGCTTCGTAGCGCGGATTATGCACGGTGGGATGATCCATAGACAAGCCACTCTTCACGTCGGTGATGAGATTAGAGAGATCAACGGTATACCAGTTCAGAATCAATCCGTTAATGCCTTGCAAAAGATTCTGGTGAGTATTATAAAGTTATTCTCGTAACTGCGAGCGGAATCTGAGAACTTGTTTCAAGAAGTTCTTAATCTTACGTTATCAAAGAAATTACTTGATGGAATATACCATAATTTTCTCAAACAAGTATTTACTACAAAATTGAAAAAACTGTACTTTTTGAAGTAGAATATGATTTCAATATTGGATAATAGATTTGTACTTCATTATTATATATGCAAAATTTTGTGTTTATGCGAATGAGTATAAATCAAAGCTCGAATCAGCTTATTCGTAGCCGTAGTTTCTGAAGAGTCCGGTCCTCTTCGACTGTTACAGCGGGAGGCACGTGGATCGGTGACTTTCAAGATCGTGCCGTCGTACAGGAGCGCGCCGCCCCCCTGCGAGGTACAAGTAAGACCCAACACCCAAACCCTTTCCCAAAACACTATCGCGTCTAGTAAGCCCACATCTTCCACGGCTTCCACGGGCACGAGCTCTGGAGGCGGTGCGAACAAATCCGGAAAACCGGTGAAAACCTCTGCGGCTACGAACAAGGAGAAGACGCCTAAGGCGTCAAAAACTTCCAAGTCTAAGAGCGCTTCCTCATCCAGTGAGAGCACGCCTAGACGTCGTTTAAACCCATTATCAGCTCTACGATCGCGAAAGTCTTAAACTCTTCGATCGATCTCGATTTCATGTAGCTCGCTCGATTAAATCGTGTATTCACAGAATTACCAGAAGCACATCTAGCTGCTTCTAGACGTAATGGTAGATCTTTCCCGGAACAAAAATTTATGCCTTCTTCCAACGACACCATTGAATTAATTACCGAGATAGTGAAGTTGCTGACGAACTTAGGCCTTATAGAATAGGTAGTTCTTATCGCAGTTTGTAATAATTATGGTAGGTAGTTTTTGTAGTCAACAGTAATTATGCATGTTAGGCTTTTTCCCCAGTACGCTTTACTATATTGATTACGTAATGATTATACTTCTCGGAAGTATGCAAATTTCTATAATATCAGTGCTATTATAGATTTTTCTTCAAGATGATAAGTATGTGATATTAATATTTTATTTTTGCAAACTTTATTTTTATTCTGTGAAAGTCCTTTAAATATTCTCTGAATTATGTAACCTTATCTTCTAGTCGCATCAGCACTATATATTCCGGATATTATTATTGATTATAACCCAAAGACATGATTCCACGCATGAAGTGATCTACCAATCGATTAAATAGTTTGTCTTAGTTTCTCTTATATGTACAATCTTCTAATCTAACAAGTCATACTTTGACGTTTCTAATAGAGTTTGCAACAGTAAACAACTAATTTGCGTTATATTATATATGTAGATTATTACAGATAATCATTTATGAAGAAAAAGAACAATTAATTCGATTAGATGATTCAAACTTGACACACTTTCATAGTGAAAATACATTTCAAATTTCATAAAGAATTGTACGATTATTACTTTAAAGAACTCACGCAACGTGCGAAGTCTTTGCCTATTATCCGTTTTGCGATTAGGAAAGTTTTGGATAATGAACAGAGGGATATACGATTAGTTTCTCAATAGTTTGCAGTTCGTATATAGTTTCCCGTGTAATTTCATCTAAGGTAGACCACGAAGTTTACAAGAAGTTTGTAGGAAGACAGGCGGTTAATAGTGTCCACTTTGCATTACGTTTAGGATAATCCACTATCAGAAAAATTTTTGTGCTGTGTAATCAGCAATGAGAGAAGGAAACGAGAATATAAACTTCTACGGAAGCATTAAAATTATTTTTTAATATATCTCATTAAACTAAAAAATTTTGTTGAAATTCCAAATTTATTTGAAATTAGCCAGAGTTTATTTAACGACCTTTGTGTAGGAACATCATAAAAAACAATCGTACATGCAATATTTCTTTTGATAGTTATTTTGACAGTCATTATGCCTAATTAATACTTATAGGATGCATATGTAAATATATATATACATGTGCAATGAGCCTAAAAAATTATGACTCATTAATAGAGATGTATTTTCTGATAAAGTTAATATAGATTTTTTGTTTATTCCTTTTTTAAAATTAATAATTATAATGTCTTGCAGATTAATTAAAAAATTTGTTAATATTTTAAATGCCTTTCTTAGATGGTCAATTAGATATTTAATTTTTATATATTATTAAAAATTGTTTTATTATATTCTTACATAAAACAGGAGTATATTAGTATATTTTTTAATCGGCTTTTAATTTGTTAGAATAAACAAGGATGTTTACGCCTTAAATTTCTGAAATAACTTAACTTTGAACTTGGACACTTTCATTGTTAATCTTCGTTAATATTGACGAAGGGAATGGTAACTGATATCTGACGGTTTATGTACGCCAGCTTAAACGCAATATTCTCGAATAGTTGAATGTATTCAACGACAAATTCTACTATAGTTCAATGTCCGGTCATATTTGAAGTTTCAGTAATTAGCACGCAGGTTCCATCCGAGAGGGAACAACTTCTTGGAGAACGTAGAATTCTCGAGGCAAACGACAAGAACTTTCCTTTCCATGATTTATGAGCGTTTTGGGCTAATTACAAATACCAGTCCGCGTACAATTTATGAATTTTTATCTCCCTTTCTTTTCGAGTCATGCCATGCTGAGCGGTTTAGTTTATTTAACATCACCTATGTCAATGAATTGATGGATCTGTCGGCGCGGTTTTTTATTTTTATTTTGCAAACCAAACAAATGGAATTGGATAAAAATTTATAAATTGAATTCGTTTACAGCAAAACCACTGTGAACAGCATTTTTCTAGAAATCGTTTATCAACTGATAGTTTCAAGAATTTAAAAATAAGCAATGTCCAGTGCTTGATATGTTTTGCTACACTTTAATTTTATGAAAAATATTTCAACTGTTTCAACATTGGTTTTTTTATATAATTCTATTTATATCGGTACATATTATAGAAGAAGCAAAGAAAATATTAATATTAAAATGTTTTTAGTTAAATTAAAGATAAAATTCTATTTTATTATATATATTTCTTGTTATTTTTTATGTTAAATTTTTTACTCAGTAATCGATTATTTTTTATATTTTCAGATATATCTAATTATTCATCTAAATTATCCAAAGATAAATATTTTAACGTATAATAAAAGAGAATAAATATGTAACAAGATGCTATATTTCTCATTTATTTACTTGATAATTCTACATTAATGCTTAAGATACCTGTCTTTAAAATATTTTAGAACGAATTTTAATAAAAATTAGTAAATTCCTTAATTTTTTACGAAATTTTTAGAGTAGTAATGTTTCTTTATTAGTTTAAATAGTTTATATGTATATGTTTAAAAAACATATATATGTGTGTGTAATTATAAATTATATATTCATGAAGTAACTATAAAATATAAACTAAATGTAAACTATAAAATACTTTATAGATTTCTCTCTCTCTTAATGAGAGAGTTTAACGTCCAAACCAATAAACTTCCAGCACTGCTTTTTCTACGAAGTTGAAATCAAAATAGAGACGTTTATGTGAATACTTCACTTCATATTCGCAATCACGCTCCATCGTTTAATCCAAGATAGGGTCTTAAGCAATAGCGCACAATGTGCGTAATCGATAAAAGCGGTAATAGAATCGAGGTTATATTCGAAGCAGTAATTCCGAAATTAAATCAGCGTCATTCTAATCACATTAATCCGAATCGTTGCAATGCGCGATTTCCTTCTACTATCTATAATTTTGAAGCGAAGAAAGAAAATCTTTGCATACTGCAATTTGTATTTACCAATGAATTTGTCACGATTTCTCATCTTTATATGATTCAACTAAACGCAAAATAGTTTCTATCATGCTATACGTCGAAATAATAAAAATGGCAGGCTATTAGTAAATATATAAATAGATATAAACGTGATCGATATTTGCAGAGGTTTTCACCAGTTATCCGTATTACATATACACATGCACATATATAACAATAATATATAGAATGATTATTGAATTAACTAATTTACTGTTACAATAATAAAAGGATTTAGATATTAATACGTTTGACGTACCGAGAAATATAACGTTCGCTCGTGGCGATCGTGTTTATAAAATGGAAAAAATTTTTTCTCTATCATTTTATCATATTTCTCAGTGCTCAAGCAATGCCACGCAAGACAAAGAAATTTCTTTCAGCATAACGCCAAATCGCATAAAATCAAATTGAGGAAACAGAGTTTTTCCCTGGATCAAGATTTTATTAGGTACAGCTGCTTTCATGTTGTTGCAAAATTTGATTTTTACATCGCGTGAAATGATTGCTTCTTCGATCAATCTATGGGATTGATGGAACACTTGACGAAGTAAACGATTTTACGTTTGCAATATTTGCAATGTTCGCAGTATTTTTCATAGCTCACAATTTTGCATCGCGAGTTCGTGCTTCGGGCACGTTGTACATACTTCAAATTTTACAAACTAGTCAAAAGGCCCGTACAATATGCAGTTACATGTACAGCTCTTTAAATAGATATACAATACCCTTCTTCGCGTACTCACTTGTATAAAGAATGTTTGCCATCTTTAATTGCTTATACCGCATTATGTAGATAACGAATCTCCTACGATTGTTGCAATTGTACGGCAATAGGACAATATGCTAGTCGCATGACATATAATGTTCTCTCTCTTCTGGAGGATTACATTGAGCTTGCAAGTAATAAACTACGCAAGTGTCACGTATAAGGATGCTGCAAAGTCGGCGAGATAATCGACAAGAAAAATCATTATCAAAAAGAATATACGAATTTTAAATAAAGTGGCGTGAGCATAGCTATGTGCTTCATTTGTTGTGCACTCAATTGTTATTAGAATGATGTATTTTTTTTCTTTTAACTTTTACTGTGATAAATTTGAATTTCGTTGATTGTGTCGTCAATCTTGCAGCGTTGCATATTATGTCCCGTATAATAGATGGTCCTTGCACTGACCTGTGTTGTGTTCAAAGTTCACATTAATTTCACAGATATTAATTCTGCAATGAGATAAAGCATAACTGGTGATTTGCTCTGATAATATTAACATAAGAAGACGACGCTCGTTTAGCCAAGATTAGCCGGATTATCATTGCAAATGTGAGAGCTGTTATAATTGAGTGTGATATCTTCGGTTAATGTGAATTTTGCGAATTACAGACCAGTGTGACGCAAGCTCCAATTAAACAAATGCAACGGGACAATGCTGTTAGAAAATAATGTATAATATACATATTAGAGAGATATATATATTAAAAAGTATACATATATATACATATATATTATATAATCCGTATTTCTATAAGACAAGGTCGGTACGAGCGGTGTAACAAAACGCTTTGGTCGGCGCTTTCGAGTCCACG